GTTCATTATCTCTTTTGGGATACAGACCCAGCAGTGGTACTGCCAGGTCAAAGGGCATGCATGGCCCTAAAGCCCCTTGGGAACAGCTCCAAATTGCTCTACAGAATGGTTGAATCAGTTCATAATTCCACCAACAGTGCATTGATGTTCTCATTTTTCATATTTCCCCTCTACCATTTGTAATTTCTGTTTTCTATCCTGTTAACCAATCTAATAGGTATGATGTAGTAACTCAATATTTTAACTTGCATTTCTCCAATCAATAGTGATTCAGAGCATTTTTTCATATGGCTATAGATAGCTTTGATTACTTCATCTGGAAACTGCTTATGTCATTTATCAATTGGGGAATGGCTCTTATTTTTATAAATTTGACTCAGTTGACTCTATGTTTGAGAAATGAGGCCTTTATCATAGAAACTTGTTTAAATGTTTTTCCCCAGTTACTCTTGCTAACTGTAATTCCCTCCATTCTATTTCCCCTGCCCTGTTTATTCTATACTCTCTCTCCTTTCACCCTGTCCCTTCTCAACTGTTTTGCTTCTGACCACCCCCTCCCTCAATCTGCCCTTCCTTCTATCACTCCCCCTTCTCTTATTCCCTTCCCCTCCTACTTTCCTGTAGGGTAAAATAGATTTCTATACACACTTGAGTGTATATGGTATTCCCTCTTTGAGCCAATTTTAATGAGAGTAAGGTTCACTCACTCCCCCTCTTCCCCTCCACTGTAAAAGCTTTTTCTTGCCTCTTTTATGTAAGGTAATTTATCCCATTCTACCTCTCCCTTTCCCTTTCTCCCAGTATATTCCTCTCTCACCCTTTAATTTTATTTTTTAGATATCATTCCTTTGTATTCAACTCACACCCATGCCCTCTGTTTATATATATACTCTTACTTGCCCTAATAATGAGAAAATTCTTATGTTACAAGTATCATCTTCCCATGTAGGAATATAAACAGTTTAACCTTATTAAATCCCTTATGATTTACCTTTTTATGTTTCTCTTGAGTCTTGTATTTGAAAGTCAAATTTTCTATTCAGCCCTGGTCTTTTCTTCAAGAATACTTGAAAGTCCTCTGTTTCATTGAATTTCCATTTCCCCCCTGAAGGATTATACTCATTTTGCTGGGTAGGTGATTCTTGGTTGTAATCCTGGTTCCTTTGCCCACCAGACTATATTCCAAGCCCTCCAATTTTTTAAAATAGAAGCTGCTAAATCTTGTGTTATCCTGATTGGGGCCCTACAATATTTGAATTGTTTCTTTCTGGCTACTTGTAATATTTTCTCCTTGACCTGGGAGCTCTGGAATTTGGCTATTATATTCCTGAGAGTTTTCATCATTACTTTCAGTAGGTAATTGGTAGATTCTTTCCATTTATATTTTACCCTCTGGTTCTAGAATATCAGGGCAGTTTTCCTTGATAATTTCTTGAAAGATGATGTCTAGGCTTTTTTTTTTTTTGATCATGGATTTCAGATAGTCTAACCATTTTAAAATTATCTCTCCTGGATCTATTTTCTAGGTCAGTTGTTTTTACAATGAGCTATTTCACATTATCTTCTATTTTTTCATTCTTTTCATTTTGTTTTATTATTTCTTGATTTCTATTAAAATCATTAGCTTCCATTTGCTCAATTCTAATTTTTAAGGAATTATTTTCTTCAGTGAGCTTTTGTGCCTCCTTTTCCACTTGGCCAATTCTACTTTTTAGGGAGTTTATTTTTTTTTTCAGTGAATTTTTGTGCCTCTTTCCATTTGGGCAATTCTTTTCTTTTCTTTTTCTTTTTTTGGTGAGGCAATAGAGGTTAAATGACTTGCCCAGAGTCATATAGCTAGTACGTATCAAGTGTCTGAGGCTGGATTTGAACTCAGGTCCTCCTGACTCCAAGGCCAGAGCTCTATCCACTGCACCATCTAGCTGTCCCTGGGCAATTCTTTTTAAGGTATTCTTCTCCTCATTGGCCTTTTGTACCTCTTTTACCATTTGGCCTAATCTGTTTTCTAAGGTATTATTTTCTTCAGTATTTGTGTGTGTGTGTGTGTGTGTGTGTGTGTGTGTGTGTGTGTGTGTATCTCCTTCACCAAGCTGTTGACTCATTTTTTTTTATGATTTTCTTGCATCACTCTCATTTCTCTTCCCAATTTTTCCTCTACCTCTCTTACTTAATTTTCAAAATCCTTTTTGAGGTCTTCCATGGCCTGAGACCAATTTATATTTTTCTTGAAGGCTTTGGATGTAGGAGCTTTGACTTTGTTATCTTTTTCTGAGTGTATGTTTTGATCCCATGGTGACTTTCTACAATCAGATTTTTTTTCTGCTGTTTGCTCATTTTCCCAGCCTATTACTTGACTTAAAAAAATAATTCATTAATTTATTTTTAGTTTTCAACATTCATTTCCATAAGATTTTGAGTTTAAAATTTTCTCCTCCTCCCTCTCCTTCTCCCTCCCCAAGATAGCATGCAATCTGATATAGGTTCTGTTTATACATTCATATTAAGCGTATCTCCCATTAGTCCTATTACTTGACTTTTAACTCTTTGTTAAAGTAGGGCTCTGCTTCCAGGGTGGAAAGTGCACTGTCCCAAGCTTAAGGGGTTTTGTGTAGCTGTTTTCAGAGATACACCTAGGGAGCTGTAAATTTTCAGTTCTTCCAGGGTGGTATGATATAAGGAGAGGTGTTTATTACTTTCCTAGCCTGTGTTTTGGTCTGTGAGCAACCACAACCACTTTTTTCTGCCCTGGAACTTTGAGGAAAGTCCTTGCTCCACTATGGCCACAGACTCTGGTGTGCCAGTAAGATCTGAGTATGGACAAAGCAACACAGTCCTGCTCTAGTGCCAGCAAAGAGACCCCTGTAATCTCCTTCTGACCAGTTGTTTGACCTCCCTTACCATCTGTGAATTGAGAGCTCCAGAAGCGGCCACTGCCACTACTAGTTCAGTGGCTCCCAAGGCCTGCTGCTGGTTTGCTGGCACTGTGGCCGTGCTGGTGCAGGCCTGCACTGGACTGTGCTCCACTCTCACCCAGTGCAACAGACCTTTTCTGCTTACCCTCTGAGTTGTCTTTGGCAACTCTGGGCTGAGAGGTATAGAAACTGCCACTGCTGCCACTGATTCTGTCACCCCTGAGGCTTGTTCCTGGATTGCTGGGGCCAGGTCTGCACTAGTGTGGTGTGCACTGGACTGCACTCCTCTATCACCCTGGTGCAGCAGACCCTTCCTGCCCCCTTTCTAAGTTGTCTTGGGCTGGAAAAATGTTTTTATCTTTTTGTGGGTTCTACTGCTCTTGAATTTGTTTAGAATCATTATTTAAAGGTATTTAGAGGGGTTTGGGGTAGAGCTCACATGAGTCTCTGCTTTTATTCTTCCATCTTGGCTCTCCCATTGGGACTTTCAAAAGCAGAGAATCAGCTGGTAGGAAGAAAATGTATTGTTCTGATTGTTAATGTAAACAAAAATCCATTTTTGTGTTTTGTTTTGTTTTGGTTGGGAATGGAAGTGTTGAACAGCTCTATTAAATGCTATTGATCCCCCTGATGAGTTTGGGACAATGGCCCTTTAACCTGACCCCTTCTTTTGCAATAAAGAGGTGTAGTAAATAAAAAAAAAACCCCTTTTCTGGCCTGAGACCCATAAGGCTTACCTGGAACATGTTGCCTCTGCTCTGGACACCCGTCTTTTCTAGTAAATTTTATCTCCTATTCTTGCTTTCCCCATATAATTCTAGAAGCAATTCCTAGTGTCTCCTTTACTGTGACATCAGAGAAGAAAAATCAATCATACATAGCTAAGGAAGAACCAAGACCCTTCCTATAAAACTTGTGGTCTTTGGGTGCCTCAAGAAGCTATCCTGTTGTGAAAATGATGGGAGCTCAAGACACATCAACTAGGTGTGAAGCAGAGGACAGTTGATTGCCAAATCCATGGGGGTGGCTTCTCTGAAATATCATTCCTGATCCACTTCCTTTGCTTACCATGGTCTGAAGGACCGAGGCTCTGGCATTTGATTCTTCTTGGTTGAGATTCAGTTGTATGTACCCCCTCTGGCAACAGAAATCCAGTCATATCCTTTGTCCTGAATTTCTCTTCCTCTATTGCCTATCCCGCTACACCCCTGACCCTAAGTGTTTCATTGTAAGCCTTAGGCCTTTTCTTATAAAACCAAGTTCAGGACAGAGGTTACCTAGACAGGATGTAGTGGGATGAGGTTTGGGAGATGGGCTTGGGGATCTAGCTAGGTCTGAAAAGCTAGGAGAGCATAAACCCCACTCAGTGTGTGTGTGTGTGTGTGTGTGTCCACCTTGTTGCCTTACTACTTAGGAAAAGTTTAAATGGTAACTAAGTAACAGTGTTGGTCCATGAGTGATCAGAGATGGAGGTTGCTTGACCAGATTCAGAGAGCATAGGATGAGAACTCTGAGAATAAAAAATCTTTGAGGTTAAGTTAGGACCTTTGTGTGCTCTGTTCCATCCTTCCAACCTGGAGAAAAGTCCAGCCTTTGTGATTCCAGGTTATTAGGATATATATATATATATATATATATATATATATATATATATATTGTGTGTGTGTGTGTGTGTGTGTGTCTATAGATAGGGTGGTTAGACCACTTCTAATGGAAATTCCATTTTCCCTTTCTAGTCCTTAAAAGTCTTGTTCCTGCTTAGTTCTCAGGAAGATTAAGACCAGAAATGTCCTGGAGCTAAGTCAGGCTCTGTGATTCCCTTGGAAAGGCCCAGTGCTCCTTAGCTTCCTCTTCAGTGACTTTCTGAAGACTATTTTTTTTTACCACCCCCAACTCAAAGGGACAAGTGTAGGCCAAGGTCCTGAGAACATGAGCATCCATGGCACAGACATGGGACCTGTAGCACATGTCTGGAAAACTTACACACTGCCTAATCCTTGACAAGGAGTACTTAAGTTCTTTGAGGTCTTTTTAGCTGGCCCTGGAATTACCACACTCCCACCTTCCCATAAACACCACACATGGAGGTAGTAGTGTCAAGATTTCTTTATTAGGATATCCTGTGTGTGCCCAGACTTTGGGAGCACCAGCTCCATTTGGCTGCATTGCCCACGAGGGCTGGGCATGGGTAGAAGAAACATGCAACTATAGTCAAAGGAAAAACAGAAGTTGGGGATCTTACCCCTCAATGTCCAAGTTAGTTTGCAGAAAGGCAAGTACAGGGCTTGGGCAGATTCTTTTAAAAAGGGCATGCCATCTACTAACAGTGAGAATGTGGAGGAAGAAGGGATAAGTGGAACCCACTGCTGCCCAAGTACTCTTAGAATATGTCTTCAGTGTTCTTCAGAAAAGGATCACAGGGGACACAAGGATAATACCTCTTCAGGCATTGTGGCCAAGCTCCCATAACTGGGACCCAGGACACCTCAGTTCTATCCTCAACCATATCTTTGCTTTAGGAATCTTGAAAAGTTCCTTTTGTTTTCTGTGCCCCAGTGCTATTACCTGTGAAAGGGTATGCCAACCCAATGCCAAGGGTTATAGAACTTTAGAGAGTTGTGGTGGTAAGTGACCACTTAAGGCCAGTTCCAACTCCCTACCAGGTTGAAGCATACATCCCCCAATATGAAACAGAAGACTGCCCAGTAATATATACCTGCATCAGACAATAGGATCCACTCCAAAAAGCACAGGGGAAGAATGACATTCTTCAGCCACATTGGATCATGAAAGAAATATGGCACAGAGGGGGTGACTCTGGTCTTCATTTTTCTTTCTTTAAGAACCATGGCTCAATCCAGGGGCTACCAGGGGGGAAAAGAATGATAATGGTATGGCTGGATCAAATGTAGGACACTGTTCCCAAGGGGCTGAACTGTCATGAACATCTGATGATGAGAAACTCTCAGTTCACTGAGATGCAGCAAGCACACAATAATGTACTTACTCCTCAGAAGCTCAGAGATCCTAAGTGATTACAGAGTAAATGGCATGCAAAAGGCAGCAGCTGATTGATTCAACTGTAAGCCAGGCAGCAAGTGGCTCTGGCTGTGGCTTCGTGCTGGCTGATGGTGTCTCCTGCAATTCTAGAGTTAGGACTGCTCAGCCTCTTAACTGCAGTATCTGCATACTTCACATTACAAGCCACCAGCTGAAGAGCACATTTTGGTTTTGCAGGGTCACAGTCCTCCACTAAGAATTCTGGGTGGAGAAAGCATTAGCATTCCTGAGCCACCTGCTATGGTGCTTCTGTCCTGAGGATGAAGGGGACTCCTAGTGCCTGTTGCTGTCCTAATCAATTCCTACTAAGCTTCCATCTCTCCTTGCTGGCTAAGGTTCTGACATCCCAGTTCATTCACACTGGTGCTGGGATGATCATAGCAGGTCTGACTTTAACTGCCTGGAGATTCCAGGGGTTTCCCAAGTGAGACCTCCTTTTATAAGGTAGTACATCCCAGTAGGCAGTACAGACTGTGCTGTGCTTCCAATTATAAAAAAAGCAAGGGCTTAGGGTGAGTAGGGTTTCATAGTGGTCACTCCTACAAAGGATAAAAGGTTCCAGGCCTTTTGCCATTCCATTCAGATGCCCTCAAAGCTTGGATGTCAGGAGCTTAGCAAGGCTAGTGGATCTGAACAGATATCATTCACTACCTTCAGTCACAGTGACATTGGGTAGGGGGAGAAGGCAGTGTATTTGTGTGTGTTTGTGTGTGTGCTCATCATTTCCACTGGCAAAATACTTTTGTGTGGAGCTGGAATCAAAATAGAGATGAACCCTTGAGTGTGATTTTGGTGTCTAGGGGATGAAGCCTCTTTCTCCTCGAATCTCATATATTTATATTACTCAAGAACCCAGGATTAGCTTTAAGTGTGTCTAGATAACTATCTGGAACCTGTTCCTCAATGTTAAAGGAAAATAGGCAGGCAAGAAGGCCACAGGGGAAAGAGGAATGGCTCAAAAGTGTAATACCTCACTGTGAGTGGCAGCAGCTGCTTCTTTGTGGCAGGCATTCCCATACAACATAGTGGCGGGGACTGCACAATTTTAATCCGGTTTTAAAGAGGCAGCTTGATGGGTGATGAGCAATTTTAGGGGAAGCAGTCTTCTCCAAAGAGATTTGATGTATAATAAATGCCTCCCCTCAGAAGGAAAAAGGAGAGGTGTTAGGATCTTATTGCTGAAGCCAATGAGAAGAAAGTGAGGTCCTTTACTAGGGGAAGATATCTATGTTGAGTCTTGAGAGAATTTAGACTAATATAACTGAAAGGTCTTAGGATGACCTACGAGGAAAAGTTAAATTAAATGGGGATGATTTTGTTAAGAATATATTGGAGTGTTTGAATATTCCAAGAATTTTTACAGAAGGAAAGGGACAGTTTATTATACAACTCCCCAGTGAGACACCAGGAAGAAACAAATTGTAGAACACAAGACTTAGGCTGAACAGAATTTATGACCAAGGATCTTGAACACTGAATTATTAAGGTAATTACTTTGCAATCTCCCTCACTAGCTAATGACATGTGTTTATGAAAAATGGTAGAGCTATCCACTGCCTAGTCCTGCCTAGAGGCAAGAAGGATGAATATTTCAAGTTTCCTTCCAATATAGGGAATCTGGTTCCCAAATAAGGATCCACTTCTATGATATTCTTCTGTACCTTAACCCCCCTACTCAGAGGGAAAAGGCCTTCCATATAAGGCCTTCCCATATTCCCCATGAGAAGGGGAAGAGGAACTCACCTAAAGCCTCACCTGAACACCAAGTGAAAGGAGCAATAGTTAGGCACCCCAGATACCTAGTTCTGCTTAGATGGCCCGAGGATGTGCCTGCCTTGTAAGGTCTCTCTCACATAGTTTTTCTCACACACTGAAGACATAGGACTATGGCCAGGGAGCAACTTTTTTTGGCATCAATTTTCATCTAAGCAGGATAAGTGAACAAGAGCCTAGAATCATAATCCTGGTAGTTAATGAAGGCCATTAAGTTGCTTGAGTGCAGAAGATGAGATCCCTCAATTTCTTGAAGCATAAAGTGTGTGCCTCCTGGATTTACCTTGTGGAAGCCAGTTCTTTGAGAAGACTATTCTCAAGGGATCCCCTAGGCCTCTGACTTGACATGCAGTGAGAAAGAGTACAGTACTTCTTGGGACAAGAGCTTATGATGGAATGCAATGTCCTTGATGCCATCATGAATGAGAGAAGGCGGCTTACTTTTTCCTTTTTCAGTGGGAATGACCATAACCTTTAGCATCAGTCAATATTTTGAGCTCAGTAGAGGAACCTCTGCAAGTAGCTTGTGAAACTCTCAGAACCATAAAAGTGGTCCCACTCTGATCTTGGGTTGAATTCAGGTTTAAATACTCAAACAACTTTCATTATTTCTCCAAGTTGATTCCTTAGTTTTGTGGACCACAAATTTCCATGACTCCATTGCATGTACTGACATTCCTTTGAGAATCTCAGTATTTCACTGGATCTATGATCTTATCAATGTGGATACTCTCTCCAATAATTCAGGCAGAAACCTATTCACGCCCTCTAGTCTTGTGCACTTCTCATCCATATTTTCCCATAAATCCTCTACAAGGGAAGACTTCTGGTTCTTTTGATATTACATGAATGCCAACTGAGTTCTTGTCTTTGCAGTGGCCATGACAAATCCATCTTCTTTTCTAATCATACATCTGATGATATCCTTTATTATACTGTTTTTCTTGGTTGCTTACACGTTGCACTTTACTCATGCCCACCCTATGCCACTCTATTGCCTTTCAGATAATTTTAATTCTTCAGAGACTGTGGTATCCCATGACTTGAAGCCACACAACAGATACCATTGGAAGAAGAAGATTAAAAAAGATGAGCCTTTGTTTTAATGAGAAATTTGGAGTCATTAAAAGCACTGTGCAGTTTCACAAAGGCAATCCAGCCCATTCTCCTCCTCGTGTTCAATTCTGAGCTCAGCTCATTGTCAATGATGCTGAGGATCTCAAAGTCCATCAAAAACACTGGATCCTATTTCTCCATTTGATTGATAGGAGGTTGCAAAGGAACTTCTAGGGAAAACTTGGCTTTCATATGACAGAGCTCATTCCTCTCCAAATTTTACAGGCAGAGAAACTAAGGCATTGAATAAGAGTTGGAGTTTCCTTATTTAACAGCTATAGAGAGCAATTTGGGAAGATGAAGAAGATTCCTTTCATTTTTGCTCTCCCTAAAGACCAGCATGCACAATGCTGGGGCATAGGGACAAGCCATAGTGTCTTCAGTGGCTGTCTAAGGCTCTTATCTGTACCTTAGTTCACTAAGGACTATGCACAGCAGCTTTCCTAAGCCAGGCCAGATTTTGAAGTCAAAGGAGTACTAGACATGTACACCATGCACCTTCCTCTATCTCACTGGACCCCAGGGGGATACATTCAGGCAATCCATACTACATAGCCCCTCATGCTGACCCCAATTCTATACTGACAAAATATAACATCCAGAGCAGATCTGAAGGGGAAAAGAAGTCACAAAATGGTAATACCTAGCCTAATGGGAATATGTGGGAAGGCCAATCATAAGACTTTTGTCTTGGTGACAGTGAGAGGTGGGGCTACCTTCCTCTCTCTGAGTCATTGCCTACTCCATTAGCCCCCAAACCCTAGGAAAAGCTTTGTTCCTCAGAAGACAGGGTAGCCCCAAGTCCTCTTTGAATTCTAAAACCTCTTCTCTCCCAGTATGTCTCATATTCTAGAAGTGGAATGGAAGATCACCTGCAGTACTAATTATCTAGAAGAATCCCTTTTTCCTTCCTAGAGATGCTAAGGAAGACTTCTTTATTCTCCACAATGATGATATTAATTATTTTGTCTATAGGAACTGGTTGAGATTGAGAGAGCAGAATGTGAATAATACCTAGTAGGGTCCTCTGAACTGTAAGTGGGGCTAGTTTTCTATACTGTCCACCAAATCAGGCCTTTGGTTCCAAGAAGCCAGAACTGGAATCCACTTTGTTCACTTCCAATACAGTGACATCTTAGGTACAGCCTCATCTAAGGTTACCAGTTTCATTTGTAAAGCTAATCAGAATTCAACTGACTTTGGATGAGATTTATTTCAGCCAAAGTTACTGGAATTCTGGGGAGGATTTAGTTTTCCTGTCTCTACTCAGTAGTTTACAGGTTAGTAAAGGATAGGTGTGGTAGGCTGCTTTTACCTCAGCAAAAAAATTCTGGATGTAAGGGACTATGGTCCCTTTCTGGTCAATCAGAAACCAAGTCTGGCTAACTGTGGAAGGAGTAGGCACTACCCCTCACCCCTGCCTCACCCCCAGACAAATCTGGGGTGTTTTTGTACAGGGACAGGACTAGGAGTCATGAGGTCTGGCTTTCACTTCTGGTTCTGCTGCTCACTCCTGGTGTGACCTTAGGCAAGTCAAAACTTCTCTGGGCCTCATTCTCCCCATCTTTAAAACAGAGAGCTGGACTAGGTGATCACTAAGGCCTCCTTCAGCTATGATGACCCAGGACATCAATGAAGTCTGGTCCCTTCTCAACCAATTAGAAACCAAACTTCTGGAAGTTTGGAGGGATAAAGAATCTTGAGTTACCCCATTAGTGACACCGGTTGAGATGAGGAAGGAACAGTGGGGGAGGGAACTTTTTTTTTTTTGCTAGCAACAGACAGAGCTGTTGAGGGGTAGAGTGAATATTGCCTCTTCTCCCAGAACCTCTCCCTTAGGCAATGTGCTTGCTCCCCTTTCTATGAAAGGAGATGTTATCTAGATCCCCTGTGGCAAAGCTCAGGAACAAAGATGCTGGAGGTCTCCCCTCTCCCAGTCTTTTTCAGTGTCAGGTGCTGGGGAAGGAGATGAGCCCCCATTGCCCCAGCCATGGCTGGGTAGGGGCTAGCTCTACTTCTAGAGACCCTACCCTAGGGGTTTCAAGTGAATGGCAGCACTGTTGGGGGCGAGCAGCAAGGATGTAGATGACATTCTCCTTCAGGAAGGTGGGCCAATCCACAGACCTACAGTGTGAGTGAAAAAACAGAAGGTGAAGCATGTCTCATGACACTGAAAGGATGAGACAATTCAATTATTATAGGCTGGAGTGTGAGCTTAGATGAACATGAATGAAGTGGCTACAGCTGGGTGAAGAGCTAACAGTTGTGACAAGAATCCTATGCCATCATTGGCTGCCTTTGCTCCTACATGTGAACTATTGAACAAAGATGGCGAAAATCATAAAACCATTCTTACTAGTCCACTACAAATTTATGACACACAACCTCAACTGAGCCCTCACTGTGGCTAGGCAATTCTGCTATACCTCCCTTATCAACTTACTATCTCATTCTCCACAGTGGCTCTTCCAAACCTTTTCATCCCTCCTCACCCACCATCTCCCCACCCTCAAGGCTGAGAACCTTAACTTATATATTACAGAAAAAATTGAGGGCATTTACCATGAACTCCCTCTTCCTCATCTCCTACTGGTCTGGTGCCTTCTGCCACTCTCCCCTCCTTTACCCCTATCTCACATCATGAAGTGGCCTTATTCCTTACAAAGGCTAACCCCTCTGCTTGTTCAAGAGATCCCATTCCATCCATCTCCTCCCAAAGATTTCCTCCTCTGTTGTTCAATATGTCTACTGGTTTATTCCCTACTGCCTACAAACCTGCCCATGTTTCCCTCATCCTGAAAAAAACCTTCACTTGATCCTTGAACCCCTGCTCTCATCCTATTTCTCTTCTGCCTTTTGTGGCTAAACTCCTTGAAAATGCTGTCTACAAGAGGTGCCTCCAACTTTGTCTCCTCTCACTCCATTCTTAACCTCTTACAATCTGGCTTCTGATCTTATTCCACCAAAACTTCTTTTTTCCGGTTACCAATGATCTCCTTGACATCTCTGAAGCCTTTGACACACTTGATCACTCTCTTCTTCTGGATATTTTTTTTCTCTAGGTTTTTGGGACACTACTCTCTCTTGGTCCTCCTCCTATTTAAATGACTGCTCCTGATTCTCTTCCAGATCATGCCCTCTAACCATAGGTGTCCCTCAGGGTCTGTCTCCTCTTTTCTTCTCCCTCTTTATTACTTCACTTGGTGAACTCATCAGCTCTCATGGATTTCATTACCATCTCCATGCTGATGATTCTCAAATCTACCTATTCTGCCCAAATTCTCTACTGACTTCCAGTCTCCCATTTCCAACAACTTTTCAGACAACTTAAACTGGATATCTAGCAGAGATGTTAAACTCAAAAAAATCCAAAATGGAACTCATTATCTTTCCTCCACACCCTCCCTCCTAATCTTCCTTATTACTGTAGAGGGAAACACTATCCTCCCAGGCCCTCAGGCTGCCAACCTAGGAGTTATCCTGGACTTCTCACTCTCTCTTATCCCCCATGTCTAGTCTGTTTCCAAGGCCTGTGGATTTCCCCCATGTAACATCTCTCAAATATGGCCCCTTCTCTGACAATACCAACTCTGGTGCAGGCCCTCATCACCTCATGCTTGCAATAACCTGCTGGTGGGTCTACTTGACCCAAATACTTCCCACTCTAATTCATCCTCCCAGCAACTAAGTGATTTTCCTAAAGCTTAAGTCTGATCATATCACCTCCCCTAACATGTCACTCAAACTCCAGTGGCTCCCTATTGCCTTCAGTAACAAATACAAAATGCTCTCTTTGGCATTCAAAGCCCTTCAAAACCTAGCTCCCCTTACCTTTCCAGTCTTCTTATACCTTACACACCCCTTTTCCCCACCTAAGTACTTTGATCCAGCGACACTAGACTCCTAGCTGTTCCATGAAAAAGACCCTCTATCTCTTGGCTCTAAGCATTTTCTCTGCTGTTCCCTGTGCCTGGAATATTCTTCCTTCTCATCTCTGCCTTCTGACTTCTCTGGCTTTGTTTAAGTCACAACTAAAACTCCATCTTTTACTGGAAGGCTTCCCCAACCCCTCTTAAATTCTAGTGCCTTTCCTTTGTTATTTCCTATTTATTCTTTATATAGCTTGATTTGTATATATCTGTTTGCATGCTGTCTCCCCCATAAAAGGAGGGACTGTCTTTTGCCTCTTTTTGTAGTACAGAGCCTGGTACGTGGTATGCTCTAATTGTGACAATACTCCAGGAGACCTCATGAGTTTGTCAAGACCTCAATTCCTGGGGAGCAGGTTTTCTTCTTGGCCAGAGTAGTGGGCCTATATCGTCTCATATGTGAAGGACTAAGGTCAATCAATGAAAATGATGGTACTCTGTGGAGTGTAGAAATGATGGCTTTTGTCAAGGATGGGGTGACACCTTTAAGGATATCTCACCTGGGTTCCTCCTGTTCAGCTGTCTGCAAAGGTTTCTCTGGGCTCCTGGCACTGCTGTTGCTGGCTGGGCTGTTTTCTGACATGGGTCCCACATGGCTGATACTGTGTGGCACAGGGACATGTGGTTGGGATGGACAAGATCAAGGGGTTTGGTCCTATCCCAGAGCCCCTATGAGTTGATGCATATTATCCTCTGACTTCTGGTAGCTCTTAGCAATGACTGCCCTGGACTCTAGGAATAACTCTATTCTTTGTATTTGTGGGATGGTGGCAGAGAGTAGTAAAGGAGTTGAGGTGCTTTCCTGGATTGGTTACAAATGATAAGAAGTGATTAGATAATTACTGGGATATCAAAAGAGATTTTGGGAAGGTTGGTATGGATTTTGAGAGGGAAAGTAAGGATGAAAATAAAGCATACCTAACATTGCAAGATGATGCCTCCAAGGGTCGTTTTCGGAACCAGGTGTGTTGGGCACAACGGCATTCAGTCTCACTGATGTAGCCCCCAATGCCTCGGGCTAGGAAGGCTGTTCGAGCACGTTCCCGTTCCTTAACCGTCAGTAGCCTTAACAGAGAATTCTTAAGGAAGAAGGATATGGGAATCAAAGATTACTATAGACACTTTCTGCTGAAAGTAGGGCTTTCCAAATCTCACCTTTGCTACTTATGATCTATATGACCTTGAACAAGTCCTAAGCAGTCTGGGTCTCAGATTCCTCACCTGTAAAATGAGGTGGTTGGCCTAGATGACATCTAAGGCCTTTCCAGTGATAAATCCCACAATCCTAAGGTCTCCAGGTTCTATATATTTTGGAGTCCTGAGGTTTTTAGTGTAACCAAAAGTAAATTAACCTCCATGATCTCACTCCCTCAATTCCTTTCCCCATCTAATTAGGGTACACTGGACATTTGGTTATATTAGTCACTACAAAAAGCCCTAAATCCCATCTTCACTCCTAATGATTCTTATGTTCTTGTTTCTCTCAAGTCATTGCTACAAATAGTTCAAGAACTATTGCTTTCTTGCCTCCTTAACCTCCAGTCTCCCAATCTAATGTCCCAGGGTCAGCCAGCACTGCCACACCTGTGGACGAAGTTTCTGTAGTAGCTGGAGGGACTCATGCGACAAGAAGTCAGGCCACTCAACATGGCCCCTGCGCTCAGGGTCAAGGGCAGCAAATTGTTGAGCTGCCCTCTCTTCCTGCTCTTCACTAAGTGCCCTTTCACTTCCTCCTCGCCTTGCTGCCTGATGGTGGTAGCGCAGGAAGTCCTCCAGTGTCAAGGAACAATCTGTAAGAAGAAAAATGCCTTCAGGGTCACTAGTGCCTCGTATACACTTACCAAGTTCTAGACCCAGCTCATCATTTATCCTCAACTGGCACCCTTGTTCCCTCCCACTTCTAAATATTATGCTTTGGTCCTGAACACTGGCTGCAACCACTTACAAGTCTCTACAAGTCTCTCTCTTTTCCATCAAGGAATACTAACCCTCAGGCCTGGAGGTGTTTGGAGAAGCCACTTATTTGGGGGTCAGAAATTCAAAAAGGAAATTCATAGACTTGCAGGGACCTCTGAAAAAAACTTATCTGTTCCCTATTATCCCCCCAAAGACCACAGATTATTTTCCTGATATGACAGGAAACCCCACTATACTTCAATTAAAAAAGTGTGGTAGGAGGGCTAGCTAAGTTATACATCCACGGCTTCACTTCTGGGAGAACCTGTCCAGTGTCCTTCCCAACCTCTGGAAGCCACTTGGCAGTCCTCACCGGGAATAATTTTGCACTGCTGGAAGTTCTCCATGAGGCTGTACATCTCTTCTTCTGTGAGAAGCAGGTTGAGGTTGTTCTAAGGAAAAGGAAAGAGCTGCAGATCAAGTGAATAGCACTAGTACTGGCAGGGGCTGCAGGGGCATTATGGCTCCAAAGGCAAGAAAGAAAAAAGGATTAGGGGTTGGTTTGGAGTTCTAATCTTAGCTCTACTCTTGACTGCTTGGATCACCTGAAATCATTCCCCTGCAGTACTTAGAAGAGTAAATGACAGAGAGCTGTATAACTAAGCAAATGAGGTGTCATAAAATTGTTAATAATATTCTGGAATGCTGATCTGTTTCTTTAATTTCCAAAGACACTTTGGTTGAGGGTTGCATTTTGCCTAGAAGTGCCATCGAGGATCAGTGCAAAACTTCCTGATGACAGAAAGCCACCTGTCTCATGAGGTACCAAATCAAGTTGGGACAAGAACCTGCAGACACTTGGAGTGATGGTGGTAGTTAATTTATGCATAGTTCAATGTGGAGGCAGAAGATGGGGGTTCAGTGTAGAAAGAGGAAATCTTCAACCTAATTATAAGAGGAAATCCTACAGCAGTAGAAAATCTTGCAGCAAAAATGTCACCAGGGAAAAAGGCTAGGATTTGGAGGGATGGTAGCTGACATCTGGAGGAAAAGTAGGGTTTGGTTGAGGAGAAACCAGGAGTTGCCTCTTACCCAGAAGGTTAATTATGAATATACCCTCCCTGGAACTTCAGATGAATAAAACAAGAAGTGCTAGCAGTAGAAATGACAGGTCATTTCAAGAGCGGTTGTTATCCCAGCTCTGTCACTGATTAGCTATATGGCTCTGGGCAGGTCAATTATTTTCTCTGAGATCAAATCTACTCATTAGTAAAGTAGGGATAACAAGTATTCTACCTACATCACAGGATGGTTATGAGTATAAAAGAAAGTAAACCTTAAAGTGCCATGATGATGATAGTGAACTTTACCCATTTAGAATCAAGTACTAGATGTGAATCTAGGCTTCAGTGGGAGTCAAGAGAAGTTTTGTCCTCAATTAAAATGAGGAATTCATTTAACACTTTTAAAATAAGGTATTTACTGGAGTCAGGAGGACCTGAGTTCAAATCTGACCTCAGACACACAACACTCACTAACTGTATGACTCTGGGCAAGTCACTTAACCCCAATTGCCTTACCAAAAATAAATAAATAAAATAAGGGATTTAGCAGGTACTGAGTTCTTACAATTTCTAATTCACTGTAATTTGTATTTCAGAAATAAGGACCTTGAGAAATGTCAAACTGCATGCACAGAGTCACAGAACAGGCTACTGATGAATTTGGGACCAAAGTCCAGAGCAAAAATGTTTCTGTTGCAAGAGCGATACATGGGGTTAGTCAGAAGAATGATCCGTTTCCTCTCCCTATGCCCTGGTTCTCAGTCAGGACTGAGATTCTTCCAGAAGAAAGCAATCTAACTAGATTTAGTGGTCTGCCCAGTCCAGAGGTATGGGAGCAGGGCAGTCAAACTGGAACACTGCTAAGCTCACAGTTAATGAAATCAATGTTGACGTAATTAGAAATCTGAGCCCACACAGTCTAATAAGCCTAGTATTGAATGGCTTTGGGGTAATGCGGCTTGGTTGTAAGTCTTCCACAGCATGGCCAGAGAGTGATCTGTGTGTATTTGGTACTGCTTTAGATATATTCTTCTTGCTCCAGAGTTGATCTGAGTCCCTTGACTGAAGTGGTTTGGTTAGGGAGTAAGGATTAAGGTGGAGGGAGGGTGGGAAATGCCTACTAGCAATCACAGAGCACTCCAACATTTACATGGTCATTTGTAATACGAAACACAAGGAATATTTTTTTTTGACCTTTAGAATAGCTTCTAAAACTGTGACCAGAAAAACAAGAAAATAACAGCAAGACTAGTGTGTATCAGTCAAGACCAATGAGGTGAGGAAGATGTATAGATGCAGGGTTCTTTTTAAGCCAAGGATCTGAGTTGGCCGAATCTACCAGGCACTCACAAATGATGACAATTGCTACAAACTCTGAACCAAAACATCTCTACAGTCATAAATTACGTGGAGAACCTCTTGCTCACACATCAAAATTTTCAGGTACTCTTGCAAATGAGGTAGCGACCACTGCCATCTCTACATGTGAAGCAGAGTAACTTATTTTTGGCATTTGGCACTTACTAGCACATCACCTGCCTCTGCAGACACAGCCATTGTTTGGGAAGGCACTGAAAGTGGGGGGCTACAAGGCAATCTCCTTAGGAGGCAGCATTGTGCAGTAGAAAGAGCACTCTCCCAGCTCTGCCACTAATTAGCCATGGGCTCTTAGGTACATTACTTAACTTCTCTGGGTCTATCTCCGCATCTGTAAAGTGGGGATGAAAATATTTGCCATGTCTACTTCATAGTGCTGCTGTGAAGATAGAACAAGTTAACACGTGTCAAAGTCCAAGGGCTACAGAAGTAGCAGGAGTTATTTATTATTATTGGCTTTGGAGAAATAGTATTCTTAGGCGTCCAAATCCCAATAATTCCTCTTTTAACTGCACGTCTCCCATGGGTTTTTGCCAAGTGTCAGTTTCAAATGAGATAAGACACGTGAAGTTCTTTGCAAGCCTTAAAGCATTATATAAATGGTAGCTATTATTATTATCATTGTTATAAATCTAAAAAAGTGGGAGGAATCTATCAGGAGTTCCTTGCACACAGTAGGCTCTTAATGGAATTTGCTGAATTAATGAACTATTAACTCTAATCTCTGTAGTTCCATGCCCAATCAAGGGCCTGAGTAGGCCTATTAATTGCTACTTATGATGAATTAATTATCAAGTATTTATGGAGCTCCTATTATGTGCAGGATACTGTGCTGAACACTGGGGAAGAAAAAAGGTATATAAGACATAGTCTTTGTTATGGAGTTTACACTTATACATGCTATGAGTTAAACAGTCAATACAGGACTATGCAAAATGACAAGTGAGTACTGCAGATAATAAATGCAATAGAGTGAAGGGAACTGCTCAGTGTGTACTTAAACAACAGAAGATTGCTGGTGGACTCTGAAGGAAGGGTAGTATTCAGACAGGTTGAGAGGAGGGTGGCGAGAGTATTCCAGTCTGGAGGAAGAACATATATAAAGGAAGGATGAGGAAAATAAAATGTTACATTATAGAAATCTGATGCTAACTTAGAAGGAGGTCTTCAATAGAGTGCCCAGGGGTCTGTCATTGGGCTGGTGCTATTTGACAATTTTATTATTAATGACTGAGATAAAGGCAACAATGATAAGGTTGCCAAATTTGCAGATGACAAAAGCTGGACAGTTATAGATAATATTCTGGATGACAGAGTCAAATTTCAAAAAGATCTTGAAAGGCTGGAATATGGGGCAAAATTTAATAAGATGAAATTTAAAGGAGTAAATGCGAATTTTAATACTCCATTAAAAAAAAAACAAACAACAAAGGGGCAGCTAGGTGGTGCAGTGGATAGAGCACCATCCCTGGAGCCAGAAGGACCCGAGTTCAAATCTGGCCTCAGACACATAACACTCACTAGATGTGTGACCCTGGGCAAATCACTTAACCCCATTGCCTGGCAAAAAAAAAAAGGAAGAAGAGGAGGACAGTAACAACAACCAACTTCATAAGTCTAAGGTAAGGCATGGCTAGACAGCAGGTCATTTGAAAGAGATCTGAGAGTTTTAGTGGCCTGCAAATACAACCTGAGTAAAAATGTCACACGATGGCCCAGAACACAAATGTGGCCTTCTGTTGCATTAAGGGGCAGCCAGAGCCTAACAGACTAAGGAGGAAAGAGTTCTGCTGTAGTCTGCCCTACAAAGCCCACATATGGAGTATGGTGTTTAGTTCTAGGCACTGTATTTTAGGAATGACATGAATAAATGGTAGTGTATCCACAACAGGGTGATGAAGGACTATGATATAATATATATTCATATGTTACATGAAGCTGGAATGAAGAAAGTGATTATGTTTAGTCTGGAGAAGAGATGATTTGGGAGTGGGGTGACAGCCAAACAGGATGACTGTCTTTTAAGTATATGAAGGGCTATCACATGTAAGGGAAATTAGATTTTTTCTCCTTGGCCCCAGAGAGTAGAGCAATAACGAGGTACAGAGAGGCAGTGTAGGCTTGAAAGAAAAGCTTCCTAACAATTAGAGCTATCTGAAAATGGAAATGGCTGCCTTGGGAGATGTAGGGTTGAATCTCATTAAGGTCTGGATGACTACTTATTGGGGATATTGCTGACTAGGACTCAGACAATGGCCTTTTGTCACAAGGTCACCTATGAAAGAAAGCCATTCCATATAGAAAGTAACATTGTTGAGATTCTGTTGGACTTTCCAGCTGAATACAATTTAGTGTTTGGATATGGCTTTATGATGACTAGAAACCATTATGGAAATCACTGGTGCTACCAAACTTTCTTCTGGGTTTATTTGTGCTCCAGAAACTAGATGATAAGGTGTCATGGAAATAGACATCCCCGCTTCTTCTTCTCAGACATCCTTTGAATCTACTCTAAGTGTGTAGGGCCACTGACTATAAGGATCCAATATGATATAGCCTCTTGTAAAAGAACTGGCTTTAATTGACTTTTCTTACCACCACAACCCCACCAAACTCACACAATAGTAACAGCTCCAGCCTGTTTCAGTGTGAGCCATCTCGGTCACTTCCACTGTGCTGTCTCCTTGTAGATAGCCCATGCGGCGCAAGCAGCCATCATGAAAAACCCTTGTGCAGATCCTACACGGGAAGAGACTTTCAGCAGTCCATACCTCACAAATCTCACACATCTCATCACTGATAACCTGAGGAGAAAGTAGGAGTGGAGAAAAGAGATGTTCAAAAACACGAAACAGGATCCCCACTTCTATCTAAGCAAAGCCTTGACTTTCACACCTAAATTTCTTGGTCAGACCATTAAGAAATGCACACTTTGGGTATACAGCCAATAGCAGTCAGTGTCAATGCAACAGAGCCAACAAACTCTGGCATTCTGAACCAGAAGAGGGGTATGCTATTCCAGCTGACATGCTATCATATGGTAGAAGGGACAGATGGATATGCAGTGGCTCCCCTATTTCACCCTTCTCTCTACATCCCCTGCCAAGCTACTTTCCTACAACGAGAACAAGCTCAGTTAGTTATATCTGGACTCAGACAGAAAAAGCTAAATCAGTTTGTTTTGGACTAAGGACTATCAGTTGGTTAAATCTTATCTTTTTTTCTTAATGCTTTTTTATTCACATCCCAGGGCTCACAGTCCTGCTTTCTGATCTCCAGGCAGCCTACCATTTGCTCTGTAAACTCAGATATTGCCCATTCTTCCCCTTCCCCTGTAGTTCTACTGCCTCACTCTAGAACTTACAGATTCTCTTGGTTCCAAGCAGATATCAAGTGGCTTGTCATCATTTAGTTCCCGAATAGGTCGGATAAAGGCAGGTGGTGTGAAACGACTGGCACGGTCAAACTCCTCAGGTTCTACCCCACGGCCATCCCTTAGCCGTTCCCAGGCTGCTTTGTTGACAGTGTTCTCTTCCTGTGGGACAGCGGCCACTATCTCCGGCTCATCCTCCTCTTGTACTTCCTGGACAGAGTGCTCCACAGTGCCCTCTCGAGAACCAGCTGATTCACCTGTACGCCGGAGAGAAGGCCTATCCGTAGCCCATCCTTGAAAGCTGACACAGCCAGGCTCACCTTCTGAACCTGCTCCACTGTCTGCCGTTTAGACATCAACACTCCCATGATTCTATGAGCAAAAAAGCAGAGGCATCCAGTCATCTGGCTAGGCACACAAAACAACAAGCATTTATTAAGCACCTACTATAGATGCCTACTTTATCTCTGGCACTGGGATTACAAATATAAAAGTGAGACAGTCCAAGCTCTCAATGACCTTACATCCTTAGAATGCTACACTCAGCCAAATGGGTTTCAATGTGGTATCCAAAAGAGATCATCAATCACTGAAAGGGGCACATGCCATCTGTTACTGAAGTTGGTTCTCAGATGACATAAGTTCCTGCTCCTAAATCCAATTTAGTTCAGAGTTCCAGAGCTCTGTTCTGTTAAAAGTGGCAGAGACTTCAGGACTTAAGTCCAATTTCTGCCAGCTGAGAAATTCTATGGCAGAAATGGCCTGGTTTCTGCCTCAGAGTTCCATACTTCTAGGCACAGAGCCCATTTGACCAAGAGAAAGCCTCATAACTACTAGGGTGAGGGTGTGGATATCTTTTAACATATCTTTATTCGAGTGTCCAAAGTAAATGGGTTCCTCCTTCTTTAGGAGGACTCTTGGAATAGTCAGTAACCTGTCACTCCTACTTCTCATCCAAAGTACAGTTCTACCCCTGGCATAGTTTAAGATCACTCATGTACAAGCCAATACTTCTTGTAGTCAGTGGCTGTATCTCTAATTCCTTCCTGCAATCCCTCTTGCATGCATATACATGCATACAGAGATAGGAATGCATTTTATTCGTTACTTCTCATCTTAGTCAAATTATCATTCCCATATCTGTTGCTTCCATTTTTTGGACTAGTTTCATTTAGTTGATTTTAGGTAAGAAGTAACCTGACAACTACCATTTTCCCATGGTACTAATGATGTTAACTTGGAAGGAAAATAAAGACATTACATTGTACATCTCCACTGATCCTGTCACTTTCTAGGCATTCTGGTCTACCATACCAGCCAGGAGAGGCTATTCAGCTTGATACAGAGAAATGAGGGAAAAGGAGGTGGGAATTCATTTTAATCTTGGTCTCTAAGTTTCTTTGCTTTTTGCAAACTTTGATACATCATAAGCTGTTGAATATAACCAAATGGCAGCCAGATCTTTTTTGCATTGCCTTAACTGTTTCAACCAACACTTGGAAACTGTTAATTCTTCACATACATGGTTGGACCACCAGAAACCAGAAGTTTCTGTGCTGTCCCCAGTAACAGATGATGACATCACCTGCGCAAGAGTGATGCAAATTTCTGCCTTAGTGTTTGCTCTGCTATCAGTTGTTACCAAGGAAACCCAGATTCCTGAATTTGGGATCTTGGCAAGTAGAAGAAGAAAGATTTTTTTCAAGCATTCTGTTTTTAAAATAGATAATTTCAAGTTGTTTCTTTTTAGAATTGGCTAACAGAGATTTACTGAGCATAAATAGCATTGACTTTTTGTAGACTGGATATGTTTAAGAAAGATTTAGGAACAAATTCAGGGATACATTTAGGGGATTCACATCTCGGAAATTGAATACCTAAAAAAACCAAAAACAAACCCCTCAAAATATCTCTCTTCTGAGCATCTAAATGTCCTTAATCACAACTTTAAAATTCTTTAAAAATATCTATGTAGTTCAAAGGGAATGAATTCTGTCAACAACTCTCACCTGGCAAGGATATTCACATGAATGAGTGTTGTCTCAGTGAATCACTGATTGACTTACTGAATTCATGTCACTGGCTACATTGCTCAAACGGATCTTTAACAAAACAATTACCTATCTTACAATGGGAAAAACTGAGACACTGAGAGGGGCAGTCACCAATCAGATTACAAATAAGATGCAGAACTAGAAATGAAACTCGGGAGTCTTGACTTTGAGGGGCTATATACTTCCTTCTTCCAGTTAGGAAATGCTAGATTTGTCTTTTATGCAATCTTAGATTTACCAGTGTCATGCTTTTCTTCAGAGAACTTCAATGCAGTGGGAAGACAAAGTATAGACAACATCGGAGAAACATCAAATTCACTTGTCAAAGACTGGCTCACTGGGGTAAAATAAAGGCAGTGCATACAAGTAGGTTCCTACGGGCTTTGTGGGAAGGAATATTAAAATTTATTAAACAAAGCCAGGAAACCAGAAATGGATGCTCTCAAAAGTTATCTGACTTACTAATATTGTATCAGAATATTAAATATCCTAACCTCTCAATGCCCCCTTTCTTTCTACATCCTGTTGTTCTTTACAATTACAAAAATAATCACTATTAAAAAAATCTCAATTGTAAATGATACCCCTTCTGATAAAGATTTGCTCGAGTATTCACCAGCACAAAATCACCTTATCTTTTGAATAAACTCTCTGTGAGATTCTGTATTTTTCTTACCCGAAATGGCTCGATTTCCTTGGCCACACTAGATTTGTATGTGCAGCAGTACTGTTATAGGATCACGAAAGGAAAAAAAGAAAACCATCAAAATTATGATCTCTGGGTTAATTAAACAAGCTACTTTTAGAACTAATATAGTTTTGATTTTGAGGGGAAACTGAGGATGCAACAGAATTGGATTCCACTAATGAGACTAACTTACTTGCAGCTTTTGGTATGAACAAATTAGAAATGTTCATAAAAAGTACCTTGATTAAATGTTGTTGTTTTTAAATCACAGTGATTTGTGCCTGGGGTGCTTTGGGAAATTAAAAAAAAAACCACAAGCTTAGTTGCAGGACAAGTGGTAGTAATTAGTGATTGGTCAAAAAAGATTCCCATCTGCTCAGTAACAGCCTTGGCCTAGTGAAGTCCAGTGGGTGGTGAGGTCCTCAGAGATTTCATGACTATTTCTCTGGCTGGGAGATAGATCTGGAGTCCTCGTTTCCTTGCGTAGGAGGAGATTACTAGGAATCAGACATTGGGGTAAGGGGAAGAGAATATGAATGTTAGACATTAGTATCCTTTTAGGAAGAACAAAAAGGTGAGGGAGGAGGCCAAGGAAGAGGAGCATGAGAGAGAGGAGAAAGCGATGGACAGCTTGGACAAGAGGATTTGAGCCAAGTAAAAGTGAGAGATGAGTCTGTCTTAAAGTGTCTGTTTGACAGTAAGAGTGAGAGAAACGTGTTTATGTAGGCAGTGGAGTGTGTGTGTGTTACACACCCATTTTCTGTTGAACACCTGCTCACAATGCAGATAAATTATTTACAGCAGCAGGCAAGCAAAAAATCGAGGGGTGGGGACTGGTGAGAGCTGGATGCTCTCAGCAAAGAACTAGGGAGAAGCTACAGCGAGGATGGTTGTGCTCGTTGGTTGAGATTTCCCTGGGTCTCTGGGGAAGGACCACCCACTAGTTGTGAAGGAATCTTACTCTAGTTCTGTAGCCTTAATAGCTGAGTGAATAGCTTAATGGCTAGGGCTGGAGCCCTTGATCCCATGTTTCTCTGGGATATTCTTGGGAAGAGAATGAAAAGCAGTGTAACATAGTGAAGAGAGTCTCGGAGTCAGGAAGACCTGAGTTAAAATCACACCTCTGACACTGAAAGGCTGTGTAATCATGGGCAAGTTACTTAATTTCTCTCAGCCTCAGTTTCTGTCTAAGGCTGTCTAAGAAGTGAGATCAGAGTCAGCAGAAATGAAAGGGAATCAGCAACTGATGGCAGTTTTAAAATGGTGGCAATGGCACAGTGGATAGAGCCCTGGCCCTGGAGTCGGGAGGACCTGAGTTCAAATTTGGCCTCAGACACATAACACTCACTAGTTGTGTGACTCTGGGCAAATCACTTAACCCCAACTGCCTCACCAATAAATAAATAAATAAAATAAATTTTAAAAAAATGGTGGCAATAATGCCTGTAGTTTCTACCTCAAGAGGTTGTTGTGACTCAAATGATATAATGTATGGGAAGTGCTTTGCAAATTGAGCTGCTGTTTCTTTCTTCTTTTTTTGCTTTTTGGTGAGGCAATTAAGGTTAAGTGACTTGCCCAGGGTCACACAGCTAGTGTCTAAAGCCATATTTGAACTCAGGTCCTCCTGACTCCAGGGCCAGAGCTTTATCCACTGCGCCACCTAGCTGCCCCCTGAGCTGCTGTTTCTTGCTGTCTTGTACACAGTAGAGGCTCCAAAACGTTATTTCATGAATGCTGTGGGAGACTATGGGAAGAGCTGAGAGGATTTATTTTAGTTCATTGTGTCAAGGACCTTTCCCTCAATAATTATAGTAATGTACATTGACATAGCCCTTTACAGGTAAAAATTGTTTTCACATATATTATCTCATGTGATTCTCATAAGAACTCTTTGAAGACAGCCTGTATAAGTACCCAGGACTTCTAACCCCAAGTTCAAGGGCTCTTTTTACCACATAAAACAATTCCTCAAGATGGTGTAAGGGTCAGTGAGACTAAATACTTATCTTCAAAAACCTTTATGGAATCACCCAACCTATATCATGACTCATATCTATCTTGCTTCTCCAGTAGTTAGGCTGTCTAAGAAGTGAGATCAGGGTCAGCAGAAATGAAAGGGAATCAGCAGCTGACGGCAGTGTGGTGACTTCTCTGACCACAGGACACAGCTAGCTAGAGGTGGATTTTGATACTCATCCAATTACATAAACCACACTGGCAGAACAAGGGAGATTAACAATACCAAAGTCAATATGGTGCCAAGTGTTGGGGGATCATGTCCTGTAGTACGCTGCCTCCCAGCACAAGAGACCATCAAAGGAGAGCTCTTGGCCTAAGATTTGATGTCTATTTCCTCAGCCTAGTGGAGGAGTATATCCTGAGTTCCCACCAATACTTGAGGATCACAGCATTTAGGATTGGTTGGTGATTGGTCCAAACAAATACCAAAAATATGTCTGAATGGCCAGGAAAAGCCTGTGCTTCATAAAGAATATGACCAAACATGACTATGAAAGTACTATGACTTTTAATAAGACATACTGCATTCTGTTAACTGCATACATCATGTGCTCATTTTACAATTTAGGTTTGCTCTTGTTAGTGATATAAATGTAAGTTTTAAGCCTGTGAGGGAAAGAAGTCAGAGTCCTCTTATTGTTGACTGTAAAACATGAACATCCATGATAGATCTACATGCAACATAGGGGCTGGTGATCTGTAGGTATATCAATGACTGTAGCACTAAGATTTCAGTATATATACTACAGTCCCATATTTCCCGGTGTGGGTTCTGTTCTAGCCATTTGGTCTCCTGGCAATAACCTGGGGGGCTATTTTTAGGTTTGACTTGTCCCTAGTCCCAGAAAGAGATACAGCTGGTGCCACCCAGTCTCTGTACTTCACCTCTGTTTGCCCTGGGCTGCAACAACAGCTTACAGTCAGCATCTGGAGACCACAGTCACCAAAATTGTTCTCAGTGGTATATGGGTTCCTGGGGAGCAGATAATGTAGCCAACAGCTGAGGCTTCTTGCCCGCCATTCAAAAACACCAGGGATTAGGTAGCCATAATGCACTGAAAGTAATTAGAATGAAGTATGACAATGGTTTTTGGCCTTTGGGGAACTAGGTCTATTCTCTCTGTTAAGAGAAAACTTATCTCTAGTATAAACTTTTGGCATCAGCACAGCACAAGTTGAAGAATCTATTGTTGTTTGGTTGTTTTTTCAGTTGTGTCTGACTCTTTGTGACCCCATTTTGGGGTTTTCTTGGCAGAGATACTGGAGTGGTTTGCCATTTCCTTCTCCAGCTCAATTTACAGATGAGGAAACTGAGGCAAATAGGGTTGAGTGACTTGCCCAGGGTCACACAGCTAGGAAGTGTCTGAAGCAGATTTGAATTCATAAAGATGAGTCTTCCTGATTCCAAGGCCAGTAATCTATCCACTGCACTACCCCGCTGCCCTCAAAGAACCTATTGGTGTGTTGCAATTAGTAAGAACATTACTCAGAGGTGGAGGAAGAGGAAACCCAAGCCAGGAGTATTTGGTGGGCAAAATGTCATCAGTTCTGTGGTTTATTTTAAGAAATCAAATAGATTTGAAATGAAACAGTGATTCAAACAGTTAAGCGCTAAAACTGTCAACATAGTTTTTGCACAGAAAATGAGATTTTGCAGAGAAATGAATAAGAAACCTTGGATGCCTTTTAGGTAATGTTTCATCTCCATATTTCATACCTGTGGCTCTGGCAGTTAAGCACTTTGTACCTCCTCATACCAGGAAGATGTCATTTTAGGAATCACTCATCCCACCTACAACTGATGTGGGTTTGTTATGTTTGTTTTAGATTCACCACCATACTGCGCAAGGTATTTATTAAGTTCCTAACTGGGGATGGTTCTGTGTAGCAGGATAGTATACAAGCTAACACATACAAGTTCCTATTCTCTATAAGCTTTGGCCCCACGTAAGTCTACTAATGCCCTTCATCTCCATTTCTGTTATTCTACCTCCACAGTACCTCCTTTCTTTCCATTCACATATCTACCACTCTGCTTCAGATCCTAATACAACCTCTCACCTAGATAATTACAAAGGCCTCCTAAATTTTTCTCTCTGCCTCCATTCTTTCCCTAATCCTCCCTATATTATTACCTCCCTACCTTCCCCCAAAAGAAAACCTCTGGCACCTCAACTGCCTATGAAATAAAGCAAGAACACCTTAGGTTTTTAGTCATTTACTGAAGGTCCTCCAACTTCCCTTTCATGACTTCATACATTATTCTCCTTGGTATGCTCTAGAATCAAACTAGGCTACAGGCCATTTGCCAATCTCATCTTGTTCCTCTCCTCCCAATTCCATGCTTCTTCTCATACACATACCATACTGGAAAAGATGCCCCACCCTCCATTTCTGCTTTTTGAATGCCTTCTCTTCTTGTAAGGCCCAGATTAAGTGCTATCTTCTACAAGAATCTATCCCTGAACATCCCCACTGGAAGTGATCTCTCTTTCCAAATACAACTTCAGACTTTTTCTTATATTCTAATTTACATTGCGGTTTCGAATTTATGTCTTATTTCCTCTATTATGGCATATCTTAAACTCACTGAGGCCAGATACTCTCTTAAACTTCATCTTTGTATTTTTAGCACCTAGGACAGAGCCTTGTACATAGAAGTTGCTTAATAAAGGTTTGCTGGACTGAACTGAATTCACTCTTCTTGGTTCTCCTCAATCTATTCCTCCAACCTCCATCCTCACTTTTGTTACCATTGTTGGACATTTATACTTACTGTCTTTCTTGAATACCACTTGAGAAGTTTCACTGTTGCCAGAACTTTGGTTAAGACACCACAGTACCTTTCCTACACATTTCACAAACTATTTCCAGGGCCAGCCTGCTGGTTTTACTGCTGTCTCCATGTTTAATAACCCCACCTATTTTGCCAGAGTTTCAACATATTTCCTCTCCTCCACGTCGCTTTCAATAAAAGATCTTTTAATCTACATTTAAAATTACGGCTCCTCCAACACTCT